GGAAAACAAGGTCTTCCTACGTCTTGCAGGATGCAATCGCTCAGATGCCAAGCGAATCTCTTCTTCTGTTCTTCAGTGGCGAGAATACTCCTACAACCAGGAACATGTGACTATATGTTGTTTTCCAGCAGTTATCTAGACCTATGAGCTGTTTTTCAGCGTTTTCCAAGACTTCAACGACATTATCGTCAGTCAAGACTTCTAGCGAGAAATCCGTGTTCGTTATGATTGGCGGCGACGGTGGCGGTGAGGAAATAGAGTCTGTGTTTTTTCCAGAGGACTATCCCCAACTGATGGTCATGGATAATACTGGAGAAGTTAAATGTATTATCAACAAAAGCCGGAGAAATCGTTTCTTAAAGTGAGCATCCATTTGAGACAGACAGAGGAGACTGATATGCTGGTTTATAGATGGAATTGAGCTTTTAGAAATAGAAAGGACCTCTTTCAGTTTATTTACAGAGATGAAGAGGAAACAAGTTGCAACTTTCACCTCTGACAAAGGGGGGAGGAAAGAGAATAGCAAAATTTGGAGTAAATGAATTGAATACATATTCTACTTGATTGGTGAACAATAGCGTAACTAAGATGGTCAATCAATTATGAACAATTCAGAAATATGTCTTACGTTCAAAAACAATTCTGAACCCTTCATAAGCATTATGAACCCTTTAGTAACAATTATGAAGCTTCTAGAACTTATATGAAACATTTTGAACCTTTAGAAACAATTATGAACCTTTCATAAAAATTTATGAACCGTTAAAAAACAATTATGAAACTTTCTGACCCCTTCAGAAATAATTATGAAACATTCTGAACCCTTAAGAAACATTATGAATCCTTTAGAAACAATTATGACCACTTCAGAAACAATTATGAAACATTATGTTTCTCAAGAGTTCAAAATGTTTCATAACTATTTTTGAAGGGTTCAAAATGTTTCATAATTGTTTCATAAATGACCTCAAACCACAAGATCTTTTCTAACATAGCTTTACCGCCGTAGTCGACAAGCTCAGACCTAGAGTTGTGACCGCCAGATTCGTCGTTGCTTTAGTCGCAGATTGAAGAAAAAGCTTTACCGATACAACAATGGTGAAATTTTGACTATTTGCACATATGGTCCTCTAACTCTTGTTTATCCTCCAATTTGCTTTAAACTTCTTTTCTGTTCAAGTTTGTTCATGAATTTATCCCAAAACTTTTAATTGTGCAATCCAAACCTCCTTGAATATTCGGATTTTAAAATATTGGTTTATAGTATCTTGTTTTATTTTCTCTTATATCCTCAAATGTTTTATTTCAAAATATCATTAAAGTAAACTCAAAATCCAAAAGAAATTCAATGATTTTGGTGATAGTATACTATGGATAATTAGTATAAATGGTCCTAATGAAATACCAAATTTTTATTTTTATCCTATGGATAACTTGAGGAATTTTTAAATGTACACATGTGATTAGTCTTTTTTTTTTTTAGCAACTAACTAAAACATATTAAAATCATTATCATAACTTGAGAAATATACATATAAATCGGTGTACATACTTTTTGTAAATTAGTACTGCTCTAGATTGAAAGACCTACATGTTTAATGTTTATGTACATAAAATAGTGAAATTATCTGATATTCGTATACTATTATACAAGTTAATCAATGTACATATGAACTGTTGTACACTTGGATAATAAAATATTTATGTACATGGTATAATGTATACAACAAATGACTTTTAAAATCGACATGCTTGAGTTTATGGGTTTGGAATCATTATTGAAACATGATTCAAGTATATATGTACACCAAAAATATGAAACATTGTACATATGTGCACACAAACATGTGTACATCGATAATTGTACGCCACATAAAAAAAGTAAGAATTATAACACATATTCTATCAAGATCTAAAATAAGCGTCATTCACAACAACGAGAACATTTTTTCTTCACATAAACCTCGCTGCCTTGTCCTTATACCTACAAAGACAAATATATCTCTTTAACATGTACATGTGTGCACCAACAATATGTACACATCTATATGGTCATCCAGTGTACTCATGTACACGAACATGTGTACACTAATATTATGTACACATCGTGGCCATCCAATCTTAAAACTTGGTCATCTGATCTTTAAAAAAAAATTTAATGGGTGGTAATCTTGTAATTATTTCATCTTTTTCCGATTAGGGTTTTCTGCGTTTTCTACAAATATAACTCACACCCACTATTGATTTTTATCATGCAATCTTTATTTTTTTACCTTTTTTATCTCTAGAACTTACAAATATTATATAGATTAACCAATTAAAACCCAAAACCTAGAAAAAACATAAAAACAAGTTTTAGTTCAAGTTTTAGCATATTATATCCAAATCGCTATATCTCTTCTCCACTAAATACTTATATGTCGGTTCTTCAATCGTCTACATTATGATACCACCGTATATTTCCCTTCCAGATTCACAAAGACACAGTTTTTAAGAACTCATCGACGGTGATCTCTTTCTCACGACGGCTCCATCGTTTTGCCATCCTCCACAATTTCAGTTAATTCGTTTTCTCGTGCCAGATCAAGTTGATTCTTCAGTTTCTTTTGCCAAAATTTATTTCTCTTCCATTGGTAAAAATAGTTTTGCTATTTTAATAACAAAGAGTAACAAGAGATAAGTTGAGACTTTTCACCGTAAATCAACTCAATTATTAATCCTAGTTAAATCCCACCTTAGATACGCCAATTGTATTATAATATTTTTCCTTTTCAAAATTCAAAGAATGGATTTTTGAACTAAAAATAATTTGAATCTCGGAGGGTGGGTCAAGAAGGACGGGTTGAACCACTTCGCAGCACCACATCAACCACTTTGTATGGGCTTTATGCCTGGATCTGGGTTTAGCAACTATATGGGCCTCTTATTCGTGGCGAGTAGATCATAGTACACAGAAGAGACACGTGTCAAAATGTGACAACTCGGGAGGGAGTTGGATAAGCTTCCTCGCAAGTCAGAAGATCCAACCAGCCATGGCCAAGCCATCATCCTCTACTCTGCCCAATTCTTAAACCCCAAATCTCCTCTCTTCTTCCTTCCTTTCTTCCCATAAATGGCTGCTGCAATCGCTTCTCTTTCCTTTCCGGCGTTGGGCCAATCGGTAAAGATCTACAAGTCCGCGCCTTCTCGTCCTCTCGCCTCCGTCTCCACCATCTGCAAGAGGATTTCTCGTCACTCTTTGACTACTTCTCCTAGGGTTTCCACTTCCTCTTCGAGACTTGTTATCCACTGCATGTCCACTAGTACCGGTAAATCTCTATAAGCCTGCCTTTCTTTCATTTCGTTAGTCTACTGAACTTTTGTTTCTTAGATGTGCCACCTGTATCGGAGACGAAGTCGAATTTCCTAAAGGCCTACAAGAGGCCCATCCCGAGTATCTACAACACGGTTTTGCAGGAGCTCATCGTGCAGCAGCATTTGATGAGATATAAAAAGACTTACCGTTACGATCCTGTTTTCGCACTTGGCTTTGTCACTGTCTATGATCAGCTCATGGATGGTTATCCGAGCGACCAGGATCGTGATGCCATTTTTCAAGCTTATGTTGAAGCTTTGAACGAGGATCCTAAGCAATACAGGTTAGTAGCTCTCTCTATCTCTAGATAGTTTTCTTGTTGAAAGAAAGAGGAAAACAATTTGTTTCTTCTTGACAGAATTGATGCGCAGAAGATGGAGGAATGGGCACGAAGTCAGACTTCGTCTTCACTTGTTGACTTCTCCTCAAAGGACGGAGAAGTTGAAGCAATTCTTAAGGATATTTCGGAAAGAGCTGGCAGTAAGGAGGGCTTCAGTTACAGCAGGTTCTTCGCTGTTGGACTCTTTCGCTTGCTTGAGCTTGCAGGTGCTACTGATCCCACCGTCCTCGACAAGGTCATATACTATTTGTCTTCCATTTCTTAATTCAAGGCTTAGCCAGGTGGTAGCATATCATTAATTTTTTTTCTTAATTAAACGTGGGATGGGACTGATTTTCACCAGCTTTGGATTTGGGTTGCCTTTCTGTATCATATTCATGTTTGTATATATTCCTTTACATGATGGTGCCTGACATTGTGCAAGTGTTGTTTCTGACATTTTTCACATTATCTAATTTTTGGATCTGTGTGTCTCATGGGACAGCTTTGTGCATCCCTAAATATCAACAAGAAAAGCGTGGATCGGGACCTGGATGTGTATCGCAACCTGCTGTCAAAGCTTGTCCAAGCCAAGGAACTACTCAAGGAGTATGTCGAGAGGTATTTTTATATCAAACCCTACCTAGAGGAGCTGTATGTTAAATCTTTTAGTCTCGTGGAACCTTTAACATTGGGCATTTTTTACTTGTGGTTTATTTAGGGAGAAGAAGAAGCGAGGTGAAAGAGCCGCCGAGTCCCAGAAAGCTAACGAATCAATCTCCAAGTGTCAGGGAGATTATAGTCCATCTTTCTTGGTTTAATTGAAATCCTAAACAATCAATTTGTGCATTTTTATTTTTATTGTTCTTAGTAAACAACAGCAACTACTTGACCTTAAGATATACATGTGCTCCTTCCTAAGAACAAATCTCTCTTTCTCTTTCGATTTTATGAGTTTTGATGTTAGTGTTGATGCATGTGGTATGTATGTACATTGATTGGGCGGTGTGGTGTCTCTAGTGCTGCCTTCAGTATGAATGTGATCAACCATTAGTACGTAAATTCCTCCTCCTTGAAGCCCTGCCTTTTGAATTATTTATGTGTTGTCCCTATTACAAAGAAAAAAAAATCCTCAAAATGAATCTCCATAATATCAGATCAATGCCAAGGAATAGCAGACTCTTAAGTTTTAGCATTTAAAAGCTTACACAACAGGAAACCGCGCTGCTATAAGATCCAAATACATTACATAAAATGAAATGAAAAAGATGGAAGATTATAAATGTGAAAGAACAATATGGAGGAAGAATGCATAGAATCAACAGTCTAGCTAAGGTGAGAAATATCAACCTCATCAGGAATCTTGAAGGTATCTGCAGCACCAAACTTTCTATATTCCTCGGCTTCAGCCACTGAGTCGTCTTCATTATCATCATACTCTTCCTGATGGCGGGGTGTCAAAGGGTCGTACATACTTCTGGACCGGCAGTCATGAGTTGCAAGCATGTTCACTTGGCCAAGGTGTGAAATCTCCACCATCACTGTTTCATCGTCCATTGGCAGTGGCTGTTTCCAGGGCTCCCCATCCATTCTCATGAATGTATGGTCCGTTGCACCTTTGTGAAATTCGAAGCGAACGCGCTTCGCCTAGTCACGAAAGAGAAACTAACTCGTTATAATGTGTATACTCTCAATCATCATATCGATACGTGCCAATCATTTTTGTTTGTACAACAAGAGTTACCTGGGCAAGTCGTGTGCCGTGTCCATTTGGAGCGAGTAGGACGAGACCGTGCCAAGCATTTCTGAACCCAACAACCTCAATGAAGCCATCATCAACGAATGGTGGTGTCAAGTCTCTCTGTTGTAACACAAGAAATAAATTACACATTATTTTACCATTGTCAAAAATATATATACAGAAAGAATTCAAGACCTACATCGCGCTGTTTCCTGGGATTTGGTGTACCCCAAGGATTTAGTCCTCCAGAAAAGCTGGGCAGATTCAGACATACAATGGACCTGATGCTGTGAGAGCAGAAGAAACAAAAGTCAGGAATTGGAGTTTTTTTTTAATTCGTAGTTATTCCAAGAAAGCAGGGCACTGATTTGTCACACTTGAGATGTAAATTATATCTAGTTGAACATCATAGACAGAAAAATTTCAAGACTATCCAACATGGTATGAAATTCGTGACTGACATTTAGCCCTGTAAATCCTCAGGGCCATTTAGATTGAATGAATATATATTACCTATGGGGAATGTGGAGGTCATGCCACTGGCCATTTTTATTTGCAATCTTAACCTTTGCAAGCTGAGCTATGTTCCTGCAAAGGAAGCAATAGCTGTCTAATATATCGTGCAAGAGAGCAAAAACATAGAATACAGAGATCAAGTTACAGAAAAATACTGGAAATGTGAGACTCCATTATATAACCGCTATAAGATTACATTCATTTAAAATTAGAATATAAGATTTCAATCAGAAGGTTCTCAAGGATGCATGTTTGTATATAGATGTTGAAGAGTATTCAAATTTGACATATTTTCTTAGTACACAACGAGGCCCAATCAGAGAACAACTATTGGCGCCAAATAACCAATTACTGACATTATAACAATTTAATTAAAACAAAGGATTGGATCCAAGTTCATTGAAAACATTTTTTTAAAATGTTTAAGAAGCTCCAACAAAATAAAAAATGTGAATGAGAAACTTGGGGGGAGCTGAAACTTAGCAGGAAAAGAGTGAACTGGACGCAGTGTAGATATATATACACATCTACTTACCGCGAAGCAGGGTGAAAAAGAGAGGCGCAAAACCATCCTTGCGTGCAACCAAGCTTTACATAAGTACTCTAGCAAATTGGAATATGAAGCCAATGCAGAAAAGTAGTATTACTTGTTTAGTTTTTTTGAAAAAAAAAGAAGGAAAGCGTAATCACATTAGCAAAATCACGAACAAGATGTACCTGATTAACCAGCTGGTTCTTGAATTTTTCAGGGTGTAGTTTCCTCTCAGAATGAAACGCATAAGAAATTTGAGCATCCATTCCTGCACAGTGCACAATGGAGAAATTTTCAAGGGGATTTGTCACCGGAAAATTGAAAATCAAGATGATCATCGAGACCATACTAACAAAAGAAAAGCACTGCCTCATTATTTTTCATGTATTTAATTTCTATACACGCCCATTAATCAAAATAATTAGTATGATTGATTGCTAGCACATCATACAGAACACCGTAAGGGAAGCCTAACAAAATTCCTCACCGAGGCTAAAGTAATTCCAGAATCCTCCGCGAAATGTGTGGTAACCTTCCTGGAAAGAGCAAAGGATATCCATAATAAGAGAAAATGAGTCAGAATTATCGTGGCAGAAAGATTTATTTACCCTATTTAGTTCATCAGTTGGAGAAACACGGTGAAATGCATGTAGAGAATGAGGTAACTCAAGAGGTGCAAGAGGATCACAAGAACCCTCTTCTTTAGGAGTCTTCATCCTCATAAGTATGTGCCAACTTAAAGTAGACAAAATGTATTCACCAGTTATTCCAGAATCATAAACTACAAAGTACAAAAAAAAGAGTTATGCATATAATATACTTGTCAATCTTCATCTCTTTGGCCTTGATCACTTTATCCAAAAACAACTCCACTGAAGCTGCATCAGTTCCTGGATTTTTCTTTCCCTGAAGAGACCAAGCAAAACAAGGATTGGATCGAAACTCTTCTTTTGATTAGTAAAGAAACAAATGTGTTTAAAGGTTATTTCCAGTACACACCCATCCAAAAGCAAAGGGAAGGTTATTTCCTGTACCCAAAGGCACAGTGGCAATAGGAGGAGGATGTGATAATTTAAGATCACAAACAACTCCAAGTAGCCACCCAGCAGTTCCATCTCCTCCTGCAACCTAATAAAAAAGATATACAATCAATAAAAAGATAGAATGTTGTAATTATTAATATTTATTATAAAACTTCTCCTCACAATTATTTTTAACTTGTCTCGAATGTGACGAGCGAGATCATCATCCTTTAGCCTCTCGAGGTTAATATAAATCCTGCGAAGCACCTTATCCGGAGTCTCTACCCCAAGATCAAAGACCTGTTTATTATTGAGAAGAGAGCGGTAGGTGAGGAGGAGTTCCCCACCCAACTGACCACCGCTTTTGGAGTTGATGAAGACAAGGACGGGACTCTCGGGAGGAGCGATGGGAAGTGCGGGGGGATCCGATTCGGGTGAGAGGACGTAACTAGGGATGTAGAATTCCTTGAGAAAATCTGATAAGCTCTTGTAATTGTCGTCGTCTGACTGTAAAACATGACAAACGATTCAGATTCAAAACAACCAGAAAGTAAAATCAGATATGTGATCAACAACAAGGACTGCGCGTACCATTGTGAAAAGTTGAAGGGAGAGAAGCTGGAATCGGGATCTGGAAAGGTAATGATGAGGCTTACTTCAAAATGATATTCTATTTTTTTTATTTGGCTAAATACTTTGGGATTCGATATGATATTCTTGTCTTGTATTAATATAAAAGGGAAAACGTAAAAGAAGAAGAAGAAGATTTATCCAAGAGAAAGGAACAGAATCCCCACGTGCGTCATTCTTGGCAGCGACGGCGCCTCCGGATTCTGACGTGGACTGAGTCACGCGCCGCGTTTGTCGTCCTTTCGTTTTTCTTCTATTCCAACTTCCCGACCGTGTGTTGTTGGGTTTGGTAAACCCGTTTAGAATATTAATGTTCTCTTTTTTTTTTTCTTTTTTTTTTTTGCAACTAGAAATTTAGTTCAAAAGATTTTTTTAAAAAACCAAGACATAGTTTTTGTTATTATTTTTCTGATCAAACAAGTATTGCATCAAACTAAAAGATTTTCTCTACCATGAAGGGGGTTGATTAGAGACAACACATATACTGATTTTGCTACAGGCTACAGAATCAGACTCATTACAAGAGATAAAATCAAAGGAGATGACATCAAAGAAAGACATATAGTGATATATATCAAATATGATATCGAATAGTTTATATTATACTTTCTCCTTTTGAATAAATTGATCGGAGATAAAGAATCAAATAGAATCGCCAGGGATCGGACATTTGAAAAGACGTCAAGAGCTACCACGCGATGAACAACAATGACTTATGCTGATGATACGTGACTGTGTGTTTCCAAGATATTGGGAGGAGAGGTCGCAGTGTTCTCGCTGAAGATCCCACCTATTCCACACTTTCCTGAAGTAGTGTCCCAAGCTGCATCGACCTTGCATACTAGGACATCAGATTGGAACGTCAGAGGGGAGGGGGCACAAGAAACAATGGTTTGATTGGTTTGTGAGGGATCCGACAGGCGTTGAGATTCTAGTATCCGTTTGAGCATGAATCCACTCTTTCGCATCCTTAAGGTTCTTGACTATGATCTCCTGAATTGTAAAAGTTTTGTTCTCAAACACAAGTTTGCTCCTAACTTTCCATAATTCCACATAATCCAAAGCCACAAAGGAGTAGTTACATCAGTCGGAGGCAGAGGTGTAAAATTACCGCCTTGTTTAAGCAATTCAGAGATGGGTAGGAGATCGCTTGATGGTTTTTGTTTAACCATCATGTGACTCTATACTTCTTCTGCCAGAGGGAATTTGAGAAAGATATGAACATCATCTTCATGTGCTCCGCAAGGTTTGCAATTGAAGCTCGGGAAGCCTCTCTTCTCCAAGTTGGATCTGACTTTAATTGTTTTCTTCATGTGCTCCGCAAGGTTTGAAATTGAAGCTCGGGAAGCCTCTCTTCTCCAAGTTGGATCTGACTGGAATAGGTTTTTTCACTACTCTCCATAAGAAATCTTTTACCTTCAGACCAGCCTTGACATTCCTGATGTGCTTCAGCCAATTTATCGGGTTGTTCTCAGGAGTCAATAGCTTATCAGACAAAATTCCTATGCCATATCTTGTCTTTCTGGAATAAGTTCATGATTTCTCCGGTAACTATAGTAAGACATCCACCATAGGGGTTTAGCTTGTTTTATCTGCAAAATAATGTTTCATACTGAGGAAAGAGCCTTATAATCTCTCCACCTCCCATTTGTTTGTAATGGGATACAACATGTCACTAACCATAAGATATTGGCTTTCGAACGTTGCATGATTAGTGGTTGGCATGTAGATTTGAAGGAGAGGTAAGGAGAATCCCACACATTTATTTGCTCACCATTTCCAATTGCCCAGCTAAGGCCTTTGTGAAGTATATCTCTCCCCGCTAGAACACCTCTACACCCATGAGAGGCTGATTTCGGTATAGGGCAATCCAAGAAAGAGGAGTTCCGGGCATATTTTTCTAATAAAACCTGAACCAACAGGGAATGGGGTTCTTTGATTAGCCTCCAACCAATTTTAGCAAGTAGAGCATTGTTAAAGGTCTTAATGTCGCGAAACCCAAGCCCACCTACATATTTTGGTAGTGTCATTGTAGCCCATGCAGCCCAACACATCTTCTTCTTCTCTGGATTCACATCCCACCAAAAGTGAGTGAGAAGTGATTGTATTTGCTTATAGAGAAAGATGGGCAGTTTAAAGCATGACAGTGCATGACAAGGCTGGCTGAGAGCACCGACTTGAGCATCACTCACTTTCACTCTCCAAAAAGAAACCTTGCCGTCCAACTATGAGACTTTGACAAATCCTGTCCAGAATCGATGCAAAAATGTCTCGTTTCCTGCAGCCAAATTGCTCTGGGAGGCCGAGATATTTGCATATACCTCCTTCAGAATAAATCTCCATTGTCTCCTTGACCCGAGTCTGAACACAAACAAGTGTTTTGGCTGAGAAAGTAATCGCAGATTTCTTGAGATTTATCCTCTGTCCAGAAACCGCTTCGTAAATGGATAGTATCTTCACTAGAGTTGTGACGCATGGCGGTTTAGACTTAACAAAAAACATGATACCATCCAAAAAGAGTAGGTGGTTAATTGGTGGGATGTTGCGTGAGACCTTTACTCCTGAGAGTTAACCGTCCGCTTGTCGTTTTGTGCATAAGGCAGATAGCACTTCGGTACATAATAGGAAAATGTGGGGCGATAAGGGATCACCATGCCGAAGACCTCTTGAACGCTTCACTAATCCTGCAGTGTACCATTGATCAAGAAAGAGTATGACACTGACTCAATGCACCTCATGATCGATACTATCCAGACTGGATCAAACCCGAGTAACCGCATCACATCTCTGACAAAACCCCACTCAGTCATGTCGTACGCCTTTCTCATGTCAATTTTCACAGCCATTGAGCAGCGTTTCTTTGCCTCGAAAGTTCGTAGGAAGTGAAGAGTCTTGTGAGAAATAAGAACATTATCCGAGATCGCCGCCCGCCACAAAAGCCGATTGGGTGGTGGAGATGAGGATCGGCAGAAGCGGCTTGAGTCTCTGGGTAAGAATCTTTGCGATAATCTTGTAATGGGCATTGCATAGAGCAATAGGCCGATAGTCCGCCACTGACCTTGGACCAGTGATCTTGGAGATGAGCCTAATATGAGTCTATTTCTGCTGCGGATGTAAATGGCTCGAGGTAGAGAAATTCCTAACATCCTTTATCACATCATTACCCACTATGTGGCAATAAGACTGGTAGAATGTGGCCGAAAAACCATCTGGCCCCTAAGCCTTGTTCCCATTAATTCGACATCACATCCTCTCTAATATCATCACTCGGTATTTTTATCAACGTCTCATTCATCTCCGGTGTAACTTTGCCACTGAGCAGGCCTTGAATTTGTTAGAAGGAGTCAATGTCGTTGGTCTTGAAAATTTGAGTGAAATATTCAGATATCACTCTCGTAATGTCTGGCTCCTCATAGATAGCTCCTCCTTGCGCATCCTCAAGAAATGGAATAGAGTTTATTGTTCTTCTGTTCTTGTAGTAGCATGAAAAAAACTAGTATTTCAATCTCCTTGTTTGAGCCACTGAATTATACTTCTTTGCTGATAAATTGTTCCTCTGCTAGATAAGACTTGTGAAGTGAAGAATTAAACTCATCAATGAAAGCCTGGTCTGGAGTGTCTTTAGAGAGGGCAGATTCTAGCGCTTCCTAGCTTTGTTTTATGCTTAAGTTGCTATGCACATGTTTCTCCTTTGGCCTTTTGATGATGCCTCGCCTGCAATCATTTAGCTTCTGGATCACAGAATCTAACAGAGAGTGGTTCCAAGGCTCATCAGCGATTTGAGTCACTTCCTCCTTTTTTTGTGAGTGATCTGATGAAGCAAAAAAAGATTTCTTTTCCTAGTTCTATCGGAATTAAAGTAGATTATCAACGGCTTGTGGTCTGATACCTCAAATCTCAGATACCGACATCTCCCCAAAAGAAAAGCTTCAGCTCATGCACAATTACCCATAGAGCGGTCCAATCTAGACCTGATGTAGTGAGTGAGTATGTCGGTTCCCTCGCCATGATAATTGTTCTCCCATGTGCTTGAGATCTCAGAGTCTATTTTGTGCCACAAAAGAACTGAAAGCTGTGAAACAGCCTTCGTATCGAGTTGGTCTGTCCACTTTTTCCGCATTGTTTAAAATGTCATTGAAATCACCCGTAAATAACCACATAGAGTCTTTTCCCTGGCCTGTTATATTTTTTTTTCCAGTATACAGCTTTGTCTTCAATAGTAGGGGTTCCATAGACAAAAAAAATGAAGGAAGTGACTCCCTTATGAACAATCTTTGTGTCTATCAAATTGGGGGAAGACTCCAATATAGTGATATCAGTGTCATCGTTCCAGAATAAGGAAAGACCCCCACCAAGTTCTACTGGTGGTACTGAGAAGTAATGAATAAAATGGAGACTCTATAGTTTAAGCTTGGTAAATTCATCATTGTTCTTAGTTTCCATGAGGAACATTACATGAGGAGTCATCTTTTTTTGGATCTCCTTGATTCGCCGGATTGTAAGGACGTTCCCCAGTCCTTGAAAATTCCAGCTGAGAAAAATTAAGGAAGAGGGTTTTTGATGGGCGGAAAATCCACCCCACCTCTAACACTGCCCGGTATAAACACTGTAGTTGGAAGACCAGCCTTCTTCCTTTGTTTACTAGTTTCCGCCTTATTACAGGGTAAATTGGTGTCTTTGTATACCACTAGCTTCCTCCTTGTTGTCACAGATCAGCAGAAATTGTTAGGCTTCCTAAAAAAAGAGAGTTTGAAGAGGACTTCTTGCAATATATTGTTTCATTGCAGTGACCTTCCTCTTCTGCCGATTTACTTTGAGGTGCAATCGGTATCGAAGGTCCAATTTTTCTGTTTGACCTTACATTATCACTGAGACGGAGTACTGCGTAAATCCTAACTAGTTTCTGAGCCCGCTCCTCTATTTTCGCATGTTCAATGTGATCTTCCCTTTACTTGAAGTCTTCC